TAAGTACACAATAAATATTAGCTGATTGACTGAATGAACGAATATTTTTCAAAGAGTATAATTATAGTGGCATGCAATTTCTTTTATCTCCCATTCAAATGTATGGTGCCTAGTCATATGGCAGTATTTTCGCAAAGAAATCTGGAAACCGAATGTAAAATTATAAAATCCCTCAACCTAAAGTGTCCAATTCAAATAACCCTAAAGCTTCTTATCTCATTTAACCCTTGTTGAAATTTACAATCTTCAGAATGTCAATCTTAGCTAAAACAAAAGGCTTTAACTCACAGCTAACTAGCAAGTAACAAAGGAATAAAATATGTCTAAAATTAAATTGACCCCTTGTGTATACATTTAAGCATTAATTGTAACATTACACACACATTAAAAACCTTTCCAAGCATACGTAAGAACTAATTTTCCCAACTAGAAATTTTTCTTGGCATTGGAGTTACCAGTCTTCAAACAAACTGTAGGTGGAGCTCCAAACCTCAGATTCATCTTGATGTTACCAATTTTACTGTCTCAAGGAACAACTTCATCAGGTAACTCCAACTTCAACTGAAAAGGAACATAATTTGCATGCATGTGCAATGTTGCATATGTTGCAATATGTCAGCATTAAAGATCCCAGTACACTTGCTGCATCCCCTCCCCGTTTTTTTGAACAGTTCATTCCACATCTTTTTAAAAGTATTTATTTTCAAAATTCTATTTGTCATTTTATATTCCCAATGGATTCACAGCAAGAATTTTAACAATGTGAACAATTTGTCTTTAGTACACATTCCATTTCTGCTTTCAGAGCATTCCCATTCCATAGCAATGTTCAAAATAGGCTGTTTCAGTGTTTGGGGCATGGAGCTCACCTAGCCTCTACTTGAGAAACTTAATCATCTTTTAAAGAACTTTTTCCCTTCTGATGGTCCCAAGCTCTCATCCGTGAGGGCCTTATAACAACAGAAACTAAGTTTTCCTTTGTTATCATTGTAGACCCATTGCCTGACATAGAGTCCTGAACATGATACATACACAATAAATATTTGCTCAATTAATGAAGGTGTCTAGCCTTGGAGGTTTCCTGCTCCTAACTCTAACTGCCTTGTAGAGAAGACTTGGTCCCAAGAGTATAATGAACACTGTTTTTCATTGTTCATTTCAGTTATCACCATAATTGGCTAGCCATCCTTGTAATTAATTTTGGGGACAGTGAGACAACATTTATTTTAACAACATTTGAACATTCAACAATATTGAGTGTTTTCTGGGGTCCCAAGCTATCCAGTACTGCGGATACACCTGTGAACAAGTCAAACAAAGTTCCTATCTTCCTATCTTATGGGGGAATGAAAGACAATAATCAATCCAGACCATAAAAGACCAAAGCAGACAGTGGTAAGGACTATGAAAAGAATTCAAGTAAGGCTGAGTGATAGAGGGTGACTGGGTGGCTACTTAGAGTGTGTGGTCAGAGCAGGTGACATGTAAACTGATATGTGAATGACAACAGGGAGCCAGCCAAGTGAAGACCAGGGTAAGAGCATCTCAGGAAGAGGAAACATCTGTGCAAAGGTCTAGAATGAAATAGTAGATGTTCAGACAGTGTGGTGGAGACTAGTAAGCAACAGGGAGAGTAGGAGATGAAGTCAGAGAGACAGCAGGGACCAAGTCACTCTTATAAGCCACAGTGAGGAATTTGGATTTTTTAATTCCAAGTGCCATGGGAAGTAATTGGAGGGTTTTAAACCCAGGAGCAATAGGACCTGATTTTTGTTTTAAAAAGAATATTAGGGGCGCCTGGGTAGCTCAGTCGGTTAAGCGTCTGCCTTCGGCTCAGGTCATGATCCCAGGGTCCTGGGTTCGAGCCCTGCGTTGGGCTCCCTGCTCATCGGGGAGTCTGCTTCTTCCTTTTCTTCTGCCCTTCCTCCTCATTTGTACACTTGCTCTCTCAAATAAATAAATACAATCTTAAAAAAATAAAAAGAATATTAGCTGCTGTTGTAAGATCGCACTGAAGTAGGTAAGAATGGATGTCATCCCTGTACTAATGAGATTGCCTTGTCCCTGTAGGTATGTCTCTCACCACAGGAGTAACAAGGAGGCAAGTGATATGTGCCTGGAGTCTTCCTTGTTTTTAGCTTCCCCACCAAGCCCATCTGGGCATTTTCTCTCTACCCTGATGCTATATATGGAGGTAAGAATTTTGCCTTTTAGGAGTCCTTTGCTGCTGCCCAGGAATGAGCAGGTAGAAATAAGCCTACAGGAGTGCAGTAGTCTGTGACACTGAACTTTGCAAGAGGTCATTTGGAGACTGTTATATTCAGGGAAAATGTACTGACTAGGTGTGGGCACCAGAAAGAAAGAGCACCTCAATTCCTAGCTTAGCTTCGACCCACCAGGTGAGCTGCTGAAGCCTATCTGCTGACAGAATACCTTGATGCTTAGCTTCCAACCTTTGAGGTGGGAGTAAGTAGAATATTCTCTTCAGTTATGCTAAGAGCCAACAGAATTCTTAATTTCCTGGTTGCACATACAAAAGTGTCCAGTTTTCAACTTTCCCAATTAATTAGGAAATGAAGAGTGTCAGATGTTCACCTTGGCCAGTGTTTTCTTGCTTGTTGTTTCTGGTCCCTAAAAGCCAAGAGTGCTGATCACTTGCCCCAGAGGCCAAAAACTCTCCAATATTTACAAATTCCCTCCCTGAATGAACCAGATCCTGCTTACTATATCCTCTTAGCCATTATCTTAAGAACTGCCATCACCTGGGCATATCTCCTTTCTAATATCGAGGACAGCCTGTGTGTGATGGTTGCTGTGTTTGTGATTATTCACACCCCTCTTTTATGTGTTTCCCATTCATAGCTTCTTAAAGGCTTCTCATCATGGTCTTAACTTCTAGCATGTTTGTAAATTGTTAACTTGTTATATTAAACATTACAAAGAAGAGCTACTTTTTGGAAACTGTGCTTAATGGGAGCAGGTGACTCTGTTCTCCCCACCAGCTCTGTTTCTGCCTGTACTTGCAGAATAACAGTATCTACCTGCTGGATTTGTTCACGGCTCTATCCCTAACACCTAGAACAGAAACTGGCACATAATAGATGCTCAACAAGTATTTACTGAGAGGTTGGATGGGTTGGATTTTGTCCTGTGTTGACTTCTGCCAGGACTTCGACTGCATTGTATGACTTCCCTATGACCAGCATCCCAGTGCCTCAATTCTTCAGGCGCTACCCACTATTTTTACATTCTGAAGGGAGAGAGTCAGTAGAGAAATATTGTGAGGACTCAGTAGGGTGCCCTTTACAACTGTCTTGCCAGGGTTCTCTGCATGGGATCCAGGAGAATTGATAGTGGATCCTTGCACTGACATACATATTTATGCTTGTAGGGGAGAAAGAATCTGGTAAGTGCTTTCAGCTGCAAGTCTGAAAAGCCAATGACCACATAGACTCACTTTGGGAAAATCCCAAAGACAGATACACAACAGAGAGTCAGAAAAATTAGAGATCTGGTGGAAGGGGTAACACCAGTGCAGGGGCTTTAAGCAAGACCTTGAAGGATAGGTCATGTCATCACGCTAAGGAACTTACAGGGAGAGTCCCCAAGTTTGGTGGGTAAAGTATCCCCGGAGAGCAGAAAGTTTCAGAGTGGTGATACACAAAATCTCCTGAGATAGAATTAATAGCAACCTTGAAGGACCTTTTTGGAAAGAGGCTGTGCATATATTCATACACACACCCATACACAGAATATGCCACTGTTTGTACTTGGTGTAAATAACCGCCTGTCCTGGCTGCAGGGACAGGAACCGCATCATACAGATTTTTATGTCTCCATAGCTTTGCACAGCGGCCCTTAGAAATTAAACACTCATTTTTAACAAATTGTATTGGTGTTCTAACATTAAAAGTTAGTCTTAAGTTCTTTTCTAGGCAATAGAAGCGATTGCCGAATACCTCAGGCTATCAATTTTGTGTGGAAGTGACATAAACAAGCTGAAATTTTCAGGAGGTTTTTTTTCACGGATTTAGAAACCCTGGTTAGTTCAGTCAGGTACTTGCATCACCAATCCCTTCTTGAATGTTGATTTGTGGATTTGTGTGAGTGTGGTATAGGGGCTATCTGGCAGGAAACTCGACCCCAAATCAAATTAATTCTAAAAATGTAAGTTAGCTTGATCATTGGTTCCTTTAACTCCTTGCTTCCCCTTCTCCTTGTTGCTTTTCCTTTACCAAGATGGCCGCCGTGGAGCTCTCTCCTCATTGGTCGGTTTTTTCGCAGGTCGAGGTTCTAACCCCGCCCACCAGCTTGCCAGCCCGGGTCCTGTGTTCTTGAGAGTGAAAGGGGTAGACCAGCTGGAGTGGGCGGGGCGCCCACCGGATGTGACGTTTCCGGAAGCTACGAGGGTCGTCCGCGGGGACAGGTGGGGAAGGGTCCTGGGAATGTGGTGGGCCTGGGGCCCTGAGCGTGGTCGGACTCTGAAGGCGATCGGCCGCCGTGAGTGTGGGGCCTGCGGTCTTGTCCTCCCCCGCGCCCCTTGCCCGGCCTGCCGCGCGCGAGGCCATTGACGGCTCCGGTCCCAGCCAGGCCCAGCGCGTCCCCGCCTGCTGCTTTCTAAAGATCCGAAAACCTTGGATAATTTTGCTCTGGGTTGGCAACTTGGGCTTGAGGGCCTTCAAGAAGGGGGCCTGAAGCAGGTGTCAGGAGGTCCCTCTTCACTGAATACACCCCCTCCGCTCATTCCTGCAACTTCCTTTGACCTCCTCCTCATCGTTCCTTCTCAGTCCTTTAGGCCACCTTCTCCCTTTTTTGCGGATGCCACATCTTCTCGGGAGTCTTGCTCAGCCCTCTAGTAGCAGGCACCGCCCGCTGGCCTTGGGAGGGGGTTCCGTTTTCGACCCTACAGATCCTCTCCCCAGAGGTACTGAGGCGCAACAAGCTTCTGTTAGCTTTAATGGGCGCTAGATCGAGTTTACTAATTAGGCAACCTGGGGAAGTTTTAGATTTGCTGAGCGGCTTTCTGAGCCTCTAAAACGGCTTTGGGGGAGATGGAATGCTTCTGCATCCCTTGTAGTCCGCACAGCTTTTGTACTATTCGTGAGGGTGTTTAGAGAGGAAGCTTGGGAGAAGTGTGACCTAGAGATAGAATTGGCCAAGAGAAGCCTCTCTGAGGGAGGGAGGGCTTGGAGTGGAAAACAGAAAAACAGTGGATAGACAAATGAAACACATGTGAGGATTTCTGAGCAGATCAGAATCCTGACTGAAGCAAAAGATCTCTATTGGGAAGGAGTAAGGTTTAAGACTAAAAAGACAAAATGGGACCAGTTGACATGGGGCTTGAATTCCAAAATGGATTCTACTCTAGTTTGTATATTTTAGAGCATGCTGGCCAGGGTGTGCTGTAATTCGATGTGTAACAGATACCCAGATTGTTTTTAAAAATGATGTAGAGTGATATCCGATTGGGAGTTGGAATCTGATTCTAGCAGCGACAGTATCTAGGAAGATTATAGAATTACTGCAGTTTGAAACACAGGGAGGGAAAACTCTTAGGCTTTTTGTTGGTCTGTTTTTTTGCGTTTCAACTTACCTTTGTGCCCTTTTGTTATTTGAAGAGTGCTTAATCTTTGAAGGTAGATTTGAGTAAGTTTTTTTAAGATCTAAATTCTTTACCCTGACGTGATGAATGATGTTGTGGATTGTTTGGAAGAGTGGTTTAGTGAGCAGAACTGGGACTGTGAACATTTATTCCCAGACCAGTTCCCCTCACCTTATGATCAGAGATGAAAAAGTACACCACAGAAAAATGTCATTTACTCTCATTATTAAATAAAAATGACCAAACTTGAAATCGGTTTACAATCATCAAGAAAGCTCATTGAGTATACTATGCCACGTACTGGGATATATGGAAGTGGGTAGCTGGTAGGAGAAATAATGCAAAAAATATAAGATACCATCCATCCTTTTATGGTGCTGAGGGCAGGGCCACCTAATGATAGGGAATGATTAATATGAAAGGTAGAACTGAACCCGCATTATAGTTTTCCTCCCTGTACCACCTAATTATGGCACAGGTATTGTGGGCTTTTGAGTCAGCCAATGCTTTTATCTTTGTGAAATGGGCTTCCTCGAGGGTCTCAGCCTTATTGTGGGAAAGAGACCTTATTTGTTACAAGCCACAGCCTATGGTATTTCTCTCTTAATTTCTTCATAAGGTAAAAGTTTGGGGATAAACCATACCGTGTGCTAGGCTGTGCTAGGGTGATGGGGACCATAGTGCTGATGCCACCTGTTTTTTCTATCTCAGAACTTCTTGGTCCTGATGTCTGACCATGGAGATGTGAGCCTTCCACCCGAAGACCGGGTGAGGGCCCTCTCCCAGATGGGTAGCGCAGTGGAGATAAATGAAGACATTCCACCCCGACGGTACTTCCGCTCTGGAGTCGAGATTATCCGAATGGCATCCATTTACTCTGAGGAAGGCAACATTGAACATGCCTTCATCCTCTATAACAAGTATATCACGTAAGACACCTCCAGTTTCCTTTTTCTTTTCCGGTGACTGATGGCTCACTCATTCTGCTCTTGTGCTCATTTATGCTGCTCAGAATTGCTAAAACTAGAGAACTTTACAACATCATTAGCATTAATCATTTTTGCAGGCAGTTCCTACATACTGACTGTCCTTGACATTCAAAGTCATGAGTACTGAAAGTGTTATTTTCATGACTCAGTGATTTCATGAGTAAGAGACCTAGCTTTTTGGCCTGTGCCCACGTGGCCCAGCTGTTAAGCAAGAGAGAGGATGGTTAAACTACACGTTTTGTATTGATGAATGTTTTTCCTGTCATCTCTTTATTAAGGAAGCTAATCATAGGATTATTGTTGAGGTTTAGCAGAGCCAAAATTCCTCACCTCTACTTCTTTTGTCACAAATTGAGTGATTCAGGAAAAAGGTTTTTCTTCTTAACCTTTATCATAATCATGCAAATCGTCAAATAAGTATTGACTACCTACAGTTTGTGTGGCTCACCATAAGACCTTTCCCTTGAGTTATTTAGCATCTTAGGGTAGGCAGCATAAATAGAAGATGGCAGTGCATCATACAGGGAACAACTTATAAAGCCCCAATGATAATGAAATGATGTGTAATTTAGGAAGGGAATAATGTTAAAGGGTCTCATTTATAATCTCTAGCCTTGTTCTTTCATAATACCAGGACCTTTAGAAAAATAATGACTATAATGTGTTTGTATGACTCTTAGTAGTTCAGAGTATTTCACCGACATTGTTTCATTTGATCTTCATAGTTCTAAGTACATGAAGTAGGGCATATTGTCTTTCCGTTCTACATGTGAGGAAGCAGTCTTTGGGTTTAGTGATATGCTTTGTTCCACACTTTAGAGTGAGAAAACTCAGATCTAACTTTTTTTTTTTAAGTAGGCTCCACACGGGGCTTGAACTCCAGACCTTGAGATCAAGACCTGAGCTGAGATCAAGAGTCGGATGCTCAACCAACTGAGTCACCCAGGCACCCCTAGATTTTCTGACTCTTAATTCAGGGTTCATCTACAACATAGGTCTTGTTTTTTGTTTGTTTTCTTTTTGGTAATGTTCTGTAAATTGAAGCTAGAGTTGAGACCATAGTTTTGAGCCACACTGACTATTTTTTGGTTATTTTTTATTATTTTTTGAATAGGTAATGTGTACATATGGTAGAGAATTCAGAAGGTATGAAAAGGTATATATATTTAAAAAACTAAGTCTCCTTATCCCTCCCTTTTCCCCAAACTCTCAGTGCCCTTCCCCAGAGGCAGTCCTCTTATTAGTTTCCTACATGTTCTCCCAGAAATGATAAATGCATTTCAGTTGTATCACATTCAGTTTTTGATCACATACTGCTCTGCAGCAGAGTTTGTCAACCTTGGTATTGTTGACATTTGGGGCAGAATAGTTCTTTGTTGTGGGTACTGTCCTGTGCCTTGTAGAGTGTTTAGTAGCATCCCTGGTCTCTATCCACTAGATGCTAGTAGCACCCCTTACCCCCTCCCTGAGTTGTGACAATCAGAAATGTTTCCAGACATTACCCGATGGCCTCTGAGGGGCAAAATTGCCCCAGTTGAAAACCAGTGTTCTAAGGAAAAGTAGCCTAGAAGTGGACTTCCTGGGATTCGTACTGTGATTTTAGAGTCCCTTCAGTAGAAAAGGGACTGCTGTTGTCTCTTTAAGTTTAAAAGTAGTGCCTGTTTCCTCAGATCATGCAGTCCATCCATGCCATCACGCCTTGTTATGTGACCTCAGTGTTGATAAAGTTCCATAGAATTATAGTTACATTTTTGCTTCTCTTTGCTATTATGAGTTTTTCATTCCTCGGCACAGTGGGCACAAAACTTACTTTCCTGAGAGGTTTCTTTGACTACTGTCCCTTTCTTCTGCTGCTGGTAGAAATAATATTCTGGTATATTTCCAGTAATCTTGTGGAGAGTTCCAGAATGAGCCCCCAGGGTACAGTTCTTCAAAGAATCATGGTTGAGAGTGTTAAATAGAATCATGGAATCACTCTATCAAGTATTTTCTGGAGGACCTTCTGGGTTCTGTTGCCCCTCATAGAAAGTGCTTTGAGGGCAAGGACCATATTCATTCAACAAATATATATTGCGTACATCTGCTGTCTATTTGGCACTGCTCTAGGTCCTGGATGTATAGGAAGTAAACTGGCCCCTGCCCTTCTTGGTGTACCTTTCTAGTTATGAGAGAAGACAATAAACAGGTAAGCAAATAAATGTCACAGAATAAGGCAAATGCTAGGAAAGCAAGCAATAAAGAGAGTGCTGTGACAGAGAATAACCAAGGGTATCAAATAGAGTAAGGTCTGTCTGAGCAGGTAAAATTTAAACTGAAACTTGAAGGATGCCACCAAGTTGGTCATTCCAAGAGCCTGGAGCAAAGTGTTTAAAACAGATGTTACAAAAAAAAAATAAAAAACAAAACAAAACAGGTGTTATTGTGTGTTCAGAAGCTCTCAAGTAGGAAATACCTTAGTGTGTTCTGAGGATTAAAAGAACATCATTGTGTTTAGAGTGTAGCAAGTGAGGAGGGGGAAGGAGATGAGGTTGGAGAGGCAAGTGGGGCCGAATCATGCAGGTCACAATTAGGAGTTTGCATTTTATCTTGACAGCATTAGAAAGCCATTGCAGAGTTTTGGGTGAGGTAATGACTTAATTTTACTTATATTCAAAAAATATAAATTTGGGCTACTATGTGGTAAATGGTGGAGGGTCTGTTAAGAGAAGGCAGGGAGATTAGTTAGGAAACTCTTATGGCAATTCAAGGGAGAGACTGATGGCAATGGCATGAAGGAGTGTGGCAGCATGGAAAGAAGCAGGTAGGTGGATTGGGCATTCTGGAGGTAGAGTCCATGGGACTGACTGATAGTTTGGGAAGGATGATGGTGTCAAGGTTGACCTCAGGTTTCTGCCCTGAGTAACTTTAAGATGTGCTGGCCCATTTACTGAGATGGGGAGAATGGTATAGAAAAGGGGTTGAGTAGGGAGGAGATTCAAGAATTCAGGCCTGGTTTCTTGGACATGTTAAGGTGTTAAGTTTAAGATGCCTGTGAGATATCCAGTAGGAAGTTGGACGTACCAGTCTGAATTGAGGAGAGGTCTGGGTTGGAGATACAAACCCAGAAGTCCTTGGCATATGGGTGGTTCTGAAGCCACGAGAGCTGCTGAGATCTTCTGGCAGATAGGTCTTAAGTGGGGGTCCAGGAACCCCACAGGGATTCACTGATGGAATGTAGGCTCCATGAACTCGGTTGGGAAAAACTTTTCTTGTTTGCTAACCTCTAACTGAAATTTAGCATTTTCTTCCATTTTGCACAGTAGTAGTAATAATATTTGTAATGTCACCAACAGAAATCGATATTTTTATATCGCATTATGATTGATGCTGATATCCCAAAATAGCATTTACACTTACCTCTACTTCTGAATTACAGTACAGTTATTAAAGCCACAATTAGATCCTGTTGTGTAATGTATTAACAATATATCAGTAAAGAAGCACATAGTACAGTTTTTATATTTTGAAAACTGTATTTCAGGAGTATTGGTTTCTTTGGTAATCTTTCATATTTTATATTATATCTTTAAAAAATTATTCTGAGGAGTCCATAGGCTTCATCAGCTGCTGGGAGGATTCATGACACATTCAAAGATCAAGAAACCTTGATAATAAGACTGTAGAATGAGAAGAGCCTCACGGTTGGTTAGGTAGGGAGGGCCAGCAGACGAGACTTGAAGGGAGATTTGAGAGTCCGGAGGAAATCCATGCGAGAATGTTGTCATGGGAGCCAAAGGAGGCCAGTATTTGCAGGAGAGTGGCCAGATGCATCAGAATGGGTCAGATGGGGGCCGGGGGTGAGGTTTTGAGGTTGGAGGTGTGATGTCACTGGTGATCTTGGTAAACAGTTTCACTAGAAGGACTAAGAAGACATTAGATTGGAGCGGGCTGAAAGGTGAATGGACAATAAGAAAGCAGAGACCCATAAGTATCGTCCAGGGGTTGGCAAATTTTTTCTATAAAGGGCCAGATAGTAAACATTTCTGGCATTGCAGGCCATTTGATCTCTGTTACAACCTCTGTAGTGTGATAACACACAAATGAGTGTGGCTGTGTTCCAACGAAACTTCATTTACAGATACAGATGGCAAGCCAGACTTGACCTACTAGTTGTACTTTGCCAAGCTCTGGCATAGGTAACTCTTTGGAGGAATTTGGGCAGAGAAATAAAGTAGAAAAATGAGGGAGTAATTGAAAGGGGACAAGGAGTGCATGAATGTGTGGTGTGTATTTTGAGATGGGAGATTCTAGAGCATATTTTTTGCTGATGGA